GGTCCTTTCGGGCTTGAATTTTAAAACAACCCGAGAGAAACCAAAAAAATATTACTCTTTCCCTAGCAAAAAATGCACTGATTTTTTGCGTGTCGGAATGAGTAATATCAGCCTGAAATTGCCACACTTTTTTTACTAAATATGATGTCAACTTTCTCAAATTATGGAAGCAACATACCTTAAAATTTGAATCCACCGATATGCTGAAGCCTTTTCCTTTATATCCGTTGATATGTTGAAGTCTTTTCCAACAATCCATTTGTATCGAATTGCAATGGTGCTGCACTAGAGAAGCCATTTCCCAATGCTTCCACATATACCTACTGGAAGTAAGAGATTAAGTAAAAAAATAAAAATCATGATTACACTGGTCTTTTATATAACTGTTATTATGAAATTTCCAAAGCATTATTATTACAAAATACAGTTTATCAAATTCTTTAAACTAAGACTATTTAATACCAACTCACAAACAATCTATTCATATCATCTTTAATGTGCCAACATAGCATAATTCATGGGAAAGAAACAAATGCCCGTTAGAAAATTATTAAGCACAACATTACAACTATTTTGATCGTTATAAATAAAATTTGACCCCTCTGCCTTACGAAAATATGTTCAACAATTAGTGGACAACAAATTAATATTCACACATATACATACACATGAATACTGGAATTTTAAAATTGTAATTATATTGCAAGCCTATATAGGTAGTGCTCATATTCAACTAGAATGTTGCTACTTGTAGTACAAATGGCAACTGTTCTTGTGGCTTTTATGTTCAAATCAATGATCAAAAACTGTCAACCGCTCTGTAAATATGGGCTCAACTGTATATAATAATTATTATAATAACATATACAAATTAAGATAGGTATTACCTTATACATAAGATATGTGTGTCCTTTATAAATTTTTCATTCATTCTACGTAAACACTCAACAAATTCACTATTTAATAGTACTCAAACTAGGACACACGTGAGTATTCTGTTAGTAATAACTCGTAAGCAATTCCTTACAAGAAAATTCAATAAATAATTCTATAAGTAAATTACTCATGACATCAATCACGAAATTTCATCCTTGACTAATTTGCACACATAATTATAGTTATTTTACAATTTCTTACTAAACTATGCACAATAACTTGACTATGTTTCTAACTTTCTATAAACTAATGGATATATAGGATCAAGCAAAAACCGTGGCATGATAAATTGACATTTTAAGGTGCAGAAATTTGAAAAAATTACACCACATGAAGTGAAAGAATCGACCTTTGATGCAATTAACTATATATTTCAACTTTATAAAAATGTAGTGCACCTAGTAAAACATAAATTTATCAATCGAAAATAAATGCTATCTTCTTCATTTAACATGATGGAAATTACAAAACCGAAGCATATTTGATGCCTACATGTAGATTTCCAAGTTGCAAATGGTGAATGATTAGAATACGATAGACACCATATTAGCACATTGCAATAGCTTAATCCACTAAAGTTTTAAGAATCTCATTATTATATAAACTTCATTCAATCTACTTTCTTGCTTAGGAACATAATCTTATATTATATATCTCAAATGGGGGTAGAAAATAAAAATTTCACAAAAAAAAAAGTTAAAATACTTACAATTACATCCATAAAAGGAATAAAATAGAATTGATGGCATATGATGTACTTCGGACTTCAAATTTTCTATCGGTATCTGCACCCATACAAGATTAAACAAACATGATTCAGTAGTTAGTAACTGTAATGAATGTCATGAGATCATATCATTTATACGAGGGGTTGAAGTGGAAGAGAAATCAACTAAACTCGCCAAAACGGTTCAAACCGCCAGTTACGGTTTGTCAAAATATCAAATCGAAACCGAACCTTCCAAATAACGGTTTTGGTTACGGTTTGACGGTTTCGATTACGATTTATAAACCGCCGGTTTCAATTTAAAAACCGTCGATTACAGTTCGAACCGCCGGTTTATATATATTCATTTTTAATATTTTCCTTTTTTATTTTCTATTTTTCTAAATTTGAATTTAATTTAAAATTTATTAAGTTTGATATCAATTTTATTCAGATATATTTATTATTTATTTATTATGTAAAAATCATATATATAAATAAATAATTAAATTATTACATTATAAAAATAATTAAAATAATAAATATAGTAAATAATTAAATTAAATTTTAAATAAAAAAAGAACATAAAAATAAATGTAAAAATATTGATATGATAAAAAATTACAAAATTTAAATATATATAATAGTATTATTTTTTTAATATTATTAATAACTATTGATATTTATTAAGATTAATATTATTTTTATATTTAGAAAAGTTTAATAATATATATATAAAAAATTAATCATAATTATAATATCATTATTATTAATATACACAATTTACCCTAAATTCCTAATCAATAATACATTTACACATACTATATCATCATCGACAGCAGACGGCAGCCGCGCCAACAGGTTTTCCTTTTCTTTTCTTTTCGGTCTTCCTGTTCCCTCCTCCCTCTTTCCTCTTTTTTTTCTTCTTCTTTGCCTAGCCTCCCTGTGAGTGGTGAGAGATTTTTTTAAAAAAAAATAATATAAACCGCGGGTTCAAACCGTTACGATTTGGAAAATTCACAAACCGAAACCGAACCGTGGGATGACGATTTCGGTTCGGTTTGTGCCGGATTTCGATTTGAACCGTAACCGTCGGTTCAAAAATCGGCAAACCGAAGGTTCGAAACCGAATGGGCAAGTCTAAAATCAACCTTATTCCATTCTAAATCAAAAAAGATCTCTGGACATATATTAGTGATAATTAACCATGAATTGGTCTAACAAATTTACAAAACAATATCTATCATGCAGAAATTTCGTAAATTTAATTAAAATTCCACATTGTTAGGTATATGGCAGTAATCTCTAAATAAAAGAACCACGAAGAATAAAATAAATTTTAAACAAACCTTTCGACGAAACTTAACAAAGCAAGTTGAAATATTAAAATTGCAACACCTGATTGTGAATAATAGCTTAAATCAATTGGCACTTAGAGAACATAGAATTTCACTTCCTTCGTACATAATTTAAACAATATTTTACAGAGCAACACATTATTCACAAATCCCTATATACTACTTTCATAATAGGTATGCAATATGTGTTTCTTCAAAAGTTCACTACCAGCGGACTAATGTTTCAAAATATATGTTTTCATGAATTCAAACATCAAGTATAACTTTCATCATAAATAGGCCGTTTGAAATAAACCACTAAAACATTGGTCTTTGCATGAAAATAACAAACAAAGTGGCATGAAACGATATTTCTAGAAGTTCCCTAACAAACATATCATATTATCCTTCTTATGCATGCATCTGCATTATCAACGTCAAGAGGCTAAACAACAGCAAACATTTGAAGAGTAACGGAAATTAACCAACTTCACCAACAGTTAAGACTCATGACTACTCACTTGAACTATTAGTAGTACTACTATAGCTCTTTCTTTATTATAAATTGTAAGCATGGCAAAGAGATTAAGGAAACTTCACCTTCTTCTTCGGTAGATGCCATAAGCAATAGTAGCAGCTGAAGTGATGCTCAATATAATAACCACAATCCAGGTGGCATCTTTTTTTTATTTAACTTTAACTGTATCAAGTCCACTTGGTGGGTTGTGGCTATCAAATAAGGCCACACTTGATTTGCCAATAGTAGTACCCATTTGGCCCCTGATTTAATTAATAATGCATATAATTTGTAAGATAAGAAGGGGAGGAGAAGAGAACATATATATTCAGAGAGAATTGCTAAACCTCCAAAGCTTCTCAACGATTTCACCCTTTAGGATATGTTCCTCAACTAATTCAAGAAAATCCTTAGCCGTGATGTATCCACACCTGCGTGATTAGAGTAAAAAAAAATAGTTATTTATGATCAATCCTCGCAGAATAACATACCACAAATGTATGTTTCTATAATTACAGACCATGAACACATATTATGGTGCATCAAATATCTAACATAAATCCATCAAAACTTATACATATATACTGTAATTAAAATTAAGCGAAATATTCTCTGCAGAAGGATAATAAAATATAGCAAGCCATAAAATCTTGGTCTCACCAATTGGCAATTGCAATCAATCTTTTCCTCAAAATTAAGACCGGAAATAATCACATTGCCTACAAAGCTTCTTGTTTCCTCGTATGTGTGAATAGTCAATCCCCTAAAGATGAAAGATCTATGCAACTCAAATTCAAGCAAAAACACAAATTCAAAGTTCTATTGAATCAGTCACGATTACTCCAAGAATATGAATCCAATTTCACTCACACAAATGTTGCCAATTCAACATCATATTTAGAAACGTATTTGAAATCTTTGGGAGCAAAAATTGAAATAAAACAATCTTGCTCAAGATGTCCATTGTCAAGATTGTTTTCCATAGAAATGCAAGAAGAATTGGTGCACATAAGGCACAGCCAACAGCATATACCTTAGACCAGGAACAGTGAGTCGCCTTGGAACTGTTAATGGCAAGTGCATTAGAGAACATAGCTTCAAAAATGAAAACAATGGCCGATGTGCTTCCGTATCTTCCTCATTCCATCTCCACAGATTCTTGTCTCCGTCATATTGCCACATTAGTAGCGCACATCCACTGCAGCAACGAAGCATGTGACTGCGCATTACTCTCGGTTTCAACCTCAAGCAATGAGCTAAACATGGACTCATCCTCTTGATTTCCCATGGAAAACAGACTTCCTACAACTGGAAGCAATGGAGTAAACGCATCCAATTTCAGCCTTTGGGTATGGGTCCTCAACAGTTCATTAGCAGCAACGACAAAGGCATATACTACATAAATCGATACAAAAGCAATAGCAGCCCACACAGTCACTTTACCAACAAACAAGATTAATGAAAGGGCCGTAAGTGTAAAGATGAAAAACAAAATATCCCTTACAAAACACTTGTTATCAATCTGGACGTCCTGTTGCGCAACACAAAGTGAAACAGCCCCAACAACGATGCAAGTAACAAAGACTGCTCCTCCGAGCACACTGTTGAGCCCAACCTCCCCGGCTCCAGTCCCTACAAAAGCCGCAAAACTAGCAAATACATCAGAAGCACCAAGCAGAGTGACTCCAGCAACAGTTGGAGGGAGAGAGCTTCAACAGACTGGAAAGCTTCTCCAAAGAAATACAGAAATAATCGGCTGCCTGCCGTATTGCCTAATAGATAGAACAATGCAGCAAGCCAGACACCAAATACCAAAAAAGTCCATCCACTCTCATGGCAGTCACAATAGTAGAACTTAAGGTATTCCAAAAATCCTTGTGATTTACACTGACTGAGGGCGTGATTTCAAGAGCTCACAGCTACTATTGTATCCCTTGTGATCATAACAGAGTATAGAGTCTTCCACATCCATGGAATTAGAATCGGATGAATTTAGATTAATTGAAAACTGAGGGCTAAGCTCCATTATTTCCCTTCTAATACCTGAAAACCCCTTATCTAAACTTGGAGCATAGAAGAACAATAATTGATTTCATGCCTGTTGAAAATGCCACTTTATAGGATATAAACTATCGTCAATCTAGTTTAAGTTCATCTATGTCGCAAAGTCTAATCTTATGTGTACGAGGAACAACAAAGTAATGAAGAAAATGGTTTGAAGAAACACAAAAAGAGGCCGCATATTCAAGGAAGGTATAATCCAATGTCGATATGTAGAAACAAGAGTAAAGCACAATTGAAGTGATGACTACGAATCCCACCTGTGAGTAATAGGATGTAAGAGTCTCCGCGTGCCGATAGAAATTTGATGGTTTCCGCAACTTTCTCTAAGCACTCCTTGCTCTAACAACAAAAATTTAATGAACGCAAACGATGAGATAGTTTGCTTTCTTAAGTGACTATTCAGCTATTTACAATTCCATCTGATGAAAAATTCTAAGGACATCGTTCATACGAAGTGACATCACATACCCTTTTATCATAGCACTCAAACAAAAAATATCGGGCTCGACTCCATCATCAACCATTTGCTTGAACAGGCACCTTATTGTCTCAATATACATTCGGTTAATATAGTTGTTCGTCCTGCGGCTCAGAAATGCTGCAAACAATATGTTATAGGTACGAATCGACGGCCGGCAATCTAAATTCCGGGAAGCACGCATATGCTTGTATATATTCACAGCCCTAACAAGCTTCCTATCCTCAATGAAGTAATATATCATGGTATTGAAAAGAGGCTCAGAGCCCAGGTTAGGGATAGCTAGAACCTGATTGACGATATCGTCCATTTCCTTGTACATTTTGGCCGCACCGAGCTTTTGGATCGTGACGTGATAGGTGAACACGGTGTGCCTGAATCTGTGCTGCTGAGACGCCCAATTGAAGCACACCAATGGATCGTCCTGTTCGATTATCACATTGTGGAGATCCTCCGGGGTGAACCTAGGCAGCAGCTGAGATACACATTTTTGGAAAACTGTTTTGTCTAGAACAGGTTTTGCTGCCAATCTAGCTCTTCTGTTGATTCGCTTGCGCAGTGATCTCAAAATCGGACCGCTGTATATCCTTGTGGAAGTGGAATATAAGGAAACGCACGATCCTGTATATCTCAAAATTTTCGACTAACGACTTACAAAACCTACAAGCAAAACTGGTGTTAGAGAATAAACTTGGCCATGTTTGTTTGTTTGTTTGTGCGATTTTCTGTGCACCCTAGCTACTGGAAAAACTTGGGCAAAGAGGTCTGAAACGGAAGCGCCGGCGACCGGAGACCACCGGTAGGAGAAGCAAAAAAAATGAAAAAATAGATGAGGAAAATGTTAAAACATACTCGATTTCCTAGTAAACGGAAGCACAATCAGAGGGAAATGAAGAAAGAGAGGGAAATTAAAAAAAGCCGCACCGGATACTCCAGCGGGCGGCGGCGGCGGCGCAACTTAGAAGAAAAGGAAAGAAAAAAGAGAAGAGGGGGAGAAAGTAAGGAAGAAAGAAAGAAAAAGGAAGAAGAAAGACGGCGGAGGGCAAGGTGGGTGACGGCGGCGCGTGAATTGGATTGTTGGAGTGATTTGATTTGGTAACAATTTATCTATTTTTGTTTTTTAATAATTATTTAATATTATAAATATTTTTTAATTTACATAAATATAAAATGGAGAGTATTATATTATAAGCATATAAATAATTATGATTTATATATAAATAATAATATAAGAATTAGGCTGACAGCTATACACAACACCCATCTGATGAAAAATCCTAAAGGTATCGTTCGCATGAACCGGTTGTGCGTACATCATTTCATTTTAAGAAAACAAATTTTTCGCCATTAAATCTATTTTTTTTTGTTAGCAATGATATTAGTGACTATTAAAGATTGGTTGCGTTAGCTATGTGAATTTTAGAGACGAAATTTCGATTACAAATATACTATTTTTTATATAGTATTTATATTAATATTTACAAATGTAACACAAAATTAAGAGAGCACATGTCATAATTTTCACTAATTAGAAATTTAATAGTAAATAATCAATATTTTATATATAAAATTCAAACTTCTGATTTGAAGTATATATAATTATATTTACTTTAGCGAAATAATTATTTTTTATATCCTTTAATAAAAAGTAATGAAAATATTTCTCTTTATTTAAATATAATTAACGTCATTATAATTGTCATTTTCTTAAATATTGGGCACCAATATACATTCCTGAAGTTATAAATTGTGTTAACTTAAATTTATTTCTCAAGCATAACGCTAATCGTGTCTAAAAATATATTGTAATTACATTTTTTTTAATTTACTTTTATAGTATTAATTATACTGTAAATTATAGTACTCCGACCGTCTCATTGAAAGGTTGTCATTTTTCATTTTGTCCGTCCCAAAATAAGGTTATCATTTCCTAATTTAGTAATTGTACTATCTACCTAACATAATATATATCCTTCCAACTTATGCTATATTACACAAATGTCATTACTTTTATATTACACAATACTAATAGGCGCATTTTCATTTTTTTTCACTACAACTCATTATAATACTAATATTAAAAATCTACATGCAAAAAGTAAACGGCAACCTTGCACTGCACGGAGGAAGTATATTCATTAAAAATATATATATCATATTTAATATTTTATATTTAAAATTTATTTTATTTAAAACTCTCTCACTTAAATATCATTATTTCTATCATTAAAAAGTAAACTCTCTCACGAAGTTTTAAAAATATTAGTTTTATATTATGATAAAGTATAAATAAAGATAAAAAGACTAAATTAACTATTGTATTACATAAAGGTAATGACATTTAAGTAATATATTGTAAATTGGAAGGGTATTTGTAATGTTAGGCAGATAATACAATTACTAAAAAAAAAAGAAATAAATACTTTGTTACGGGACGGACCAAAATAGAAAAATAGATAGATTGTTAAGAGACGGAGGAAGTATTACTGAATTATTTTTTTATTTATTTTTATATATAACACTTAAAACTAAACACAAACACTTTAATACTCAGATTTTTTAGATCTAACTGGTGAGACAGTTAAGATTTTTAATAAAAAATATGTAATTTAGTTTCTAAACAATATGAAAAATAAATTCAAAATATAAGTAAAGAACCTTTAATTGATGGGTTTTATTTTGTTACTATTTTAAATTCAAATTAATATTATTTATCAACATAATTTTTATTAAAAATATACTATTAATTTTATAATAAAGTATAAAATATCACATTCAAATACTAATTGAAAAAGAAAATGGCAGATCTAACACATTATTTCAAATAAAGTTAAAAAACACAACCAAACAAACCCAATGAAGTGAAGTTAAATTTGTAGACCCTTTAACGTGTTTATACGTATGTGTAACTAAATTTAGGAGATATTATTTCATGAAGAAAATCGAAGCCGTAGCTATATTTTTTCATCGTACGGCTCACATTGTCCTAATAAATACAAGGCGGCAGATACAGTGCTGACCCTCGGAACACATCGCGAATGCGATTGCGACCGAGTCGAAGAGGATATTGTCGGGACGCTTAGAGAGAGCATTTCGTGGCAAATCGAGTCGATACCGTCGATAACGACCCCATTGATGGACGGTTACGATCATCAACAAGATATGTGGATGTTAATTCGGGGGAACGATATTGTCGGAAAGCAAAGATTAGCCGTCGTAATAGCGAAGGCGGTATTCGGTTCTTCGGATTTTTTATTCTGTTTGGACCCGAAGAATAATTGCCCGTTTACGGTGCTGAGAACTCGGCCGCGCTCGAAATGGCGTTGCGGAGCGTCGGAAAGCTCATCGTGTTGGTCGAAAATGTCGATTCGGCTGATCCTGGGTTTTTTAGGTTTCTCGCCGATATTTTGGAGGGGGGAAAGCGTCGTACGTGGACACATGTTATATTTATATTGACAATATACGGCGACGGCGATTATGACACGTGGTGTAATAAGTTTGGGGATGACGATGTAGTATCGACTGTCATTTCGATGAAACTCATTGTCTATAAATCGAAATATTCAAATCCGAACCTTAAAAGAAAGATGAATCGAGATGACGCGGCAATTAGGCCGTGGAAGTGTCCGAGGAGGTGCGAAAAAATCGATGAAGTCGAGGTTGAGAAAAGTGTCGGCCTCGTCCTCGACCTCGACCTCGACCTCAATGTAATAGCTGACGATGACAACATAGGCGACAACGAAAACTATAGTCCGATATCGAGCGATGTGACGTGCGAGCCGACGGTAACGGGACAACATAGTTCTCCGTTAGCGTTCCTTAAAACCATCGAAACTCGGATCTTTTTCGACAGGTTCGACGATGATCGCAAGCGGGCAAAGCGAGCGTTGCGATCGAAATTCGAATGTGCTTGCGGCGACAAGGCGGTTTTCTTGGATGTCGAGGAGGCGGTGGTGGACGTGGTTTTCCGGTGGTCGGAAATGTGGGGCGGCGGTGGCGGCGTGGTGGAGGAATGGATAGAGGAGGTCTTGGGGAGGAGCTTAGGTATGGTTAGGAATATAGTATGAAATGAGTGAAATAAAATATTTGGTAAAGCATCTAAATTAGTTGTAAGATTAATAATTTGGTAGGTGGTATCTAAATCAATTAAATTAAGTAATATACTAATACATGAATTATGATAATTAATTAACATCCAATCATAGAGCTTAATAGATAAATAAATATATGTATCATAACAAACACAATAAAATTTGTTAGGTGATTTAGCAATTAATCAATAATCAATATTAACAAACTCTACAATTATACAATTCATTTTTGTAGGAGGGTGTTTTTCTCAAATTATTATTATTATTATTATTATTATTATTATTATTAGATTATTTATTTATTTATAATCATCAAGATTTTTTTATTTTTTTTTTTTAAAAATGAGTATTAATTTTGCATCATATTCAAACATAGAAGGGGTGTATTTGATTTTAGTATTTAATTTGACATTTAATTTAAATATTATTTTAATATGATATTTTGTGAGTCAAAATAATACCCCGTCGCTAAATATGTTCTTAAATATTTGATCATGAATTTTAATAAAAATAATAATAATAGTTACTTTTTGCTTTCTACACTAAAAATGTACACAAATACAAAAAAATAATATATTTGTAACAGAATTTCGTCCCTAAAGTTCACGTAGCTAATATAATTTCATTCTTAATTCTGTCTCTAATGTCATTAGTAGCGGAAAAAGTAGATTTAGAGACAAAAAAATTTTGTTACAGAAATGATTTTTTCTTTTAGTGAATGTGTTTTTTTACCAATTTTTGTTTTAGTAACAACTTTTTTGATATATCCTAAACACTCTGCAATATTTCCAAAATAAGAAATAATTAATTATATTTAATCTCTATACTACACTTTATCCCCTCACATCATTCAAATAAAAAATGACTGATTTCGGGCATGATTTTCTCCGCCTCACAGCAAAAGGACCGTTTTGCCCACAAGAGCAATAAATAAATCAGGAAAAAATAATTGCTCACTTGTTGGGCTTCATTTGTCCATTCAATTGTAGTGCTGCCTAATTCTATATCTCTATGCAAATTAAATATATAATTAAGATTGTAGAAAATATCCAAAATGCAATATTCGATCCCAATTAAATTGAAATTTAAAATTTATTTTCGAATCGAATATTTGCGGAATTTATTAAGGTGTGTTTGTTTGGGGATTGGATTTTAAATACACTATTCATTATAATTTTTTTTTCCCAAAATATCAAATCAAACACCTATTTTTTATTTTTTATATTATATTTAAAATAAATTTTACATTCAAAACATTACGTTAACATCTATTTATATCTCATCATACAACTATTCAAATTCAAAATTTTTACTATTCAAATCTTAACTCAAATCCCAAACCCCCAAACTATTTGTATAAGTTTTCTAAAATTTTAATATATATTACTTAGATTTTTATTTTTTTTAAATATCGAAATATTAAATACAAAATTTTAAAAAATAAACTCTTTTAATAAATTTTTTAATAGTAAGTCAATAAGTCAAATTTTAAAATTCCATAAATTTTATTGTTTCGTTGTAATTAAGATATGTGTTTAATAAAAATATATATACTAAAATCAATTGTTCATATATTGTATTAATATTGTGTCTATAGTAATATTGAATATTATTTGTTAGCATATGATATTAAAGTTCAGCCCCGTAACAACCGACCTCGCATAAATTGATGAAACAAAAAATTAAATCAATCTGAAATATCACTTATGGTGTGTTTGTTTGAAGTATTTTGTTGGATTTGTACTATTCATTTCATTTTTTCCCCCAAAAACATCAAATCAAACACCTATTTTTCATTTTTTATATTATACTAAAAATCAATTTTACATTCAAAACATCACATCAACCCCTATTTATATCACATCATACAACTATTCAAATTCAAAATTTTTACTATTCAAATCCCAACTCAAAATCCAAACCCCAAAACAAACACACAAATTTCTAGGGACTCTAATGTTTCTTTTCTTCTTAGATTTCTCCAAATTTTATTATTTTAATATTAAATTTAAATCAAATTTCTTCAAATTCATCCCAAAAAAACACACATCTATAAAAAAATATATATATACAATTCTATTTTCATCTCACCATTTAATTTTTAAATCATTTTGCTTAATATTTTTTACCTAAATTTCTCGAACTGAAAACTAAATATTACTCCATATTTGAGGCCGTATAATATACCCCAAAAAGGGTAGAATATACCAAAAAAGAAAATGCATAATTTAGGTGTTTATTTAGAATCGAATATCAGTTTTGGAGAAAGAAAATATTTCATGCAAATTTTACATTAACACAAAGACTTTCACATAATAAATAAAACACATGGGGTATGGAGTGTGTTCATGGATTTTAGTTTTTGAGTTTGGATTTTTTAATAGTAAAAAGTTGAATTTGAATAGTTATTTGATGTGATATAAACATATGTTTGAAATGTAAAATAAAGTTGTAGTATAATTTTGAAAAATAAAAATAATTGTTTGATATGATATTTTTGGAGGAAAAAAATATATATAAATAGTAAAAACAGCTAGTAAAATCCACAAAAGAATACAACTATGATGTTTTGTACATTTTTACGAAAATGTGTTATATACTAAGTTCGTGTGGCTTTAAGGGTCTCATTTACTTTTTGTTTATGATATTTGAATATTAATTATTATATCAAAATGTAATATAAATTAAAAAAAAATTACAAAAATATTTCTATTAGTATCTTATAATATTAATATAATGATATTTGTATATATATATTTTTTTAATATTAATATAATACGCCAAAAACGTAAATGTAAATATGACCTTTGGATGGATTGAGTAATTTTAAAAAAAAAAAAAAAAAAAACCCACATTTTTTTCATTCCTAGACGTTCACGTTCAAGGCCGGCTGTCGTTTCGGTACGCCAATCTGTTTTTTTCAAAAATCCATTTTTGGACTGGCATGTGTCGATTCTTAGTTTTGATCGAAATCCAACTCACCCTCATCATTAACTCTTCTTCCTCAACCAGACATCGTCTGCACATAGACCTCCAACAATGGCGCAGCCGATCCAAAACGATGTCCCGAATGTGGTCTCTCTGCATTCAGCTTGTCACAACCTCAAAAACCTCATCAAAGAATCCATCGCCATTGATGCATCCTACAACAAAATCAACGACAAGTTCGAGGCTATGCATCAAACGCTAAACCTCGCCTCCAAACGCGTCGCGCCGCTGCAGTCGCTCTCGATCGCAAACAAAGCTCTCGACGCGAGAATCACCCGCGCCGTCGCCCCGGCCTTGTCCCTCCTCGCCGCCTTCAAAATCTTCGAATCCCTTCAACATAAGCTTCTCCGAATCGCGTCGAAGCTCCCGTCCGACAAGAGATCGTACGCGAGGCTCGAGAAGCTGGTCGAGTGAGTAGATTCGAATCGTCGATTTTTTCGATACTCAATTCGGATATTTTCTTACATTTTTTTTGTAGGTACATCGACTGCGTCGACAAGTTAAACGAGTCGATCGCTTCGATCGGCCGGGAGTGCGAGCCTGCGATCCAGAAGCTGCAAGAAGTCGTGGAGTTCTTGAGCCGGACGAAGGCGACGGATCATTACCAGACGCGTCGGCTGCGCGAGACTTTGTTGACACTGAAGGCGGTCTGCGAGACGGAGATTGTCTCGATGAAGTTCGAGGGGTTGCTCGACGACGCGCTGCTGAACTTGCAGGACGAGTACGAGAAGTTGCTGCAGAAGTTGAAGCATCGGAACATCGGCGATCCGGTCGACGATGATCCAACAGCTGTCGTCGAACCTGGGCTCGGCACCGAGCTGGAGATCGAAGTTCTGAGCAAGATTTCCCGCATGCTGACGGCGAACGATTGTCTCGACATATGCATCGACATGTTCGTGAAGGTACGGTATCGACGGGCAGCCAAAGCGCTCATGCGGCTAAACCCAGAGTATCTCAAAACCTACACGCCGGAAAATATCGACGAGATGGATTGGGAGTCGTTGGAAACGGCGATCGCCCTATGGATCGACCACTTCGAACTCGCCGTAAAAACGGTATTCGTCTCCGAAAAGGATCTCTGCCGCCAAGTCCTCGGAAACGTCATGGCCGGAGCCATCTGGCCGGAGTGCTTCGTCAAGGTTGCCGACAAGATCATGGCGGTCTTTTTCCGATTCGGCGAAGGCGTCGCGCGTAGCACCAAGGAGCCCCAGAAGTTATTCAAACTCCTCGAAATGTTCGACTCCCTCGAAAAGCTTAAACCCGAATTCTCTGAGGTCTTCGACGGCGACGCCGGGGTAGATATCTGCTCGAGGTTCCGAGAGCTCGAAAAGCTTCTAATCCATAGCTCAAGTCGAGTCTTTTTCGAGTTTGGTCTGCAGATCGAAGGCAACATTCAGGACAGCCTCCTGCCGCCGCAAGACGGCTCAGTGCCGAAACTTGTGCGGTACGCCGTGAACTACCTCAACAACCTTACGACGGAGGGTTACAGTGCGACGATGGCGCAGGTGCTCAAAACCGAGCAACTTTGGAAAGCCGGGATCCTTTCGAACCCCGAAAACGAGCAAGATCTGTTGAGGGATGCAGTTTTGAATGTTGTCGAGGCCATCCAAAGGAACGTCGACTCGAAGAAATCGCGGTACAAGGATAAAATCGCGCAGCATATCTTCGCGATGAACACGTTTTGGTATATCTACATGAGGAGTAGAAATACCGAGCTCGGGAAGCTGTTGGGAGAGCCGCACATGAAGAAAAGGTAGCTTCGATTTCGAACAATTAAATAACGTCGAAAAGTTTAAGCTGACAGAGAAATGCATTATTTCTGTGCAGATTCAGATACGCCGCCGAGGAATCAGCGTATCTGTATCAGAAACAAGCGTGGGGTGGTTTAGTTCGACTTTTGGACATCGAGGACGTCAGAATGTTGAAAGATGGAAGAGGAGGGCTTGTTCGAGGAAAAATCGAAGCTTTTATGACAGCGTTCGACGATATGTGTCAGAAACATCGGACAATCTACAAGATTGTCTCCGATGCGGATTTGAGGGCGCAGATGAAGGAGGCGACGGTGAAGCTAGTCGTGCCGGCGTATGCGGACTTTTATGATGCGTATTCGCAGATTCTTCCCCGGTCAAAGACATATCCTTCCCCGGAAAAGATCGAAGATCTGATCGGGGAGATCTTCGAGGGAAGTAATGGAAAATCGAATACACGGAAAGACCGAAGGTCTCTTGATAGACAACAGATGTAATAAACCTAAAAGCATGTATGATCGATCTGATTCGAATTCGAATATATATATATTCACGCTCACACAATTAATGTCACAAACTCAATAACATCGATCCCGCAAACAAGATAGAAATTCAGAGATCCGAGCAACGAAAAACCCGAAAAATTAAAATCGCATAAGCAAATTACGCCGCGCCATTGCTTACCGAATCATCTTTTTCGCCGCCCTCGAGCTGGCTAAGGTTTCCTTTCTCCCGAATGAGCTGGATGTGGTGATGCTTGCAATAAAGACGACCCTCGTGCGCAATGTAGTTCGACGGACTGATCGTGCACCCGCCGTGGCTGCACTTGAAGCAACTCCTGTGGTACGCTGTCCCGTTCACCGAAACCTGTTCATAATTTTGCATTGATCACTTTGAAGTCGTAATTGTTCTTTCCCATTGCATCAAATGTGTACTAATTGTTACCTTCTCCGTTGGATAGACCGTGTTCTTACAGGCCAGACATTTCTCTCGCGTCCCGGCGAACATGCCGGAAACTTTGTTTCCCTGCAGCTTCTGGATCATGAAAAACAAGGTTCAAAGATTGGTAAAGTTCTTCAAACTGCAATCAGCAGAGGATGCAGAATTATTACCTCGAAATCGGCAGGTTTCTCTGGTTTGGCAATCTTAGGAGTTCCTTTAATGGCGGAAATCAAAAGCATGAATTCAAAACCATGTAAGAAAACTAAATCTCTGTGTTCGAAGCTCTACCATGGATAAACTAGCAATTAATTACCTTCGAAGCTCTTGTCGAGGCTTCCTGTTCGCTTGAAGAGCTGATCGAAGTGTGGTCTGCAATACAGCACTCCTTCGAAAGAGTTGTAGTTCCCCAACTGTAATGAATCCACATACCACACAATAAAACTGTTAATTTGCTTTCTGGATTTGCATAACACAGAGATCTGTTTAAACCACGATCGGATCGATGCGTTTGGAGTACGAAATTGAAAAAGCACAATCCGATTGAGGATTCAATTCCCGAATCGATTTGAAATTCGAAACCCTAATTTTAGATCTTCCAAAATACACACAGTGCAAGTGAAGAAGAGAATGAATACTAACAATACCTTGAGAGTACCCTTGCAGTGATGGCATCTGAAGCAAGCTTTGTGATAAATCCTGTTGTCAGCCGTCAGTTTGTCGACTAAATAAACGGTCTTTTCGCAGGCCATACATTTCTGTGTCGTCCCTGCAAACGCCATGGCTGTGCTCAAATTGAAGCAAGAGGAGGAGGAAGAAGAAGATGAAGAATGGAGAGGATTGGATTGGATTTGGGGTGGAGGCCACACCAGTTGTAAAAACTTGTAATTAATTGGAGGGAACGGCCATTTTGCAATGATTTGGTCCTTCTGTGGCCACCCTACTCCACCCACCCACCCAACCCACCTAATCAATGATCAATTCTGTGCATGATAAAAACTCGTAGGTAATCTTTCAAATTTTGAAATATTTAACCCGACAGCTATGGTAAATTTTGTTGTATTCAAATAAATATGGAAAAAAATCAATTAATATTTAAATATGAATTGAATATTTAATTCCTTGCAAAATTATGCAGCTGGAATAGATTTTGGTTTTGGCATAAAATAACCCCAATATTTGTTAATTTCCTAAATTTGTTCTACATTTATAAAATAACAAGTCATTCCAACAATAATTTATATATTAATATATATGCAATTAAAAAATTTTAAAAAACAATCGAATTTAGCCATCGCGTACAAATATTTATATTATACATATATATATATATAATCTGGAACTTATCAGAGTGCACATTGTTGCCGCTGCCATTGCCATTGCCCCGGAAGGAGTGGACTCGAGTAGAATTTTAATTTAAAATTTCTTGAGAATTTTAAATCTCTCGCAAATTTCTTCAAAAATGTAGAAATTAAAAAATTCATTGACAAAATTACTTCGCAAGTATCCCTTACAATTTACATAAAATCCAACCTATTTTTTCCTATGTCGCAAATTTTGTTACAACTTATAAAAAAAGGTAATCCTCGCAAGTTTCCGTATATTTATTTGGTATAATATATATACTCGTTGATATAATATTACGAAAGTAAAATTAATTTATAGTATTATTAATAATAATTTTTCAAAAATTTATTGCATCAAATATATATTTTTTATTTAATATATTTTATTTAAATAACACCAAATTTTTAATTTTTTTTATAAGAGTTTTGAAAGTTTTAGTTAAAAAAAATGACATAAAATCCTATAACTAGAAATAAGTATTTGTTGAAAAATATGTTTTTAGAAAAATAATATTAATAAATAGTACTATATCCGTCTGGCTCTAAGGGTACCATTTATTATTTGTACGTTGATATTTGAATATTAATTATTATCATGAAAACGTAACACAAACTAAGAGAAAGTAAAATAAATACATCTATTAGTGTTTTATAATACTATTGTAATGATATTTGTGCAAAAAGTAAATATAATGATTTTTAATGTTAAATACAATGACGTAAAAAGTAAATAACACTCTTGGGGACGTTTGGTACATAGAATAAAATTGCAGAGAAATGAGAATTGAAAATGAAATTGGAGATAAATGAAATTGAGTAGAGAATAACAATTAATTATGTTGTTTGGTAAAACAGAGAATTCCGTTGAGAAAGGTAAAAAATTGTAGATATATGAATTGATCAAACAAAAATAAATAATTACTCATATTAAAAAAAAAAGTTTTAACTAATGAGAATTTATGAAAAATATTTTTGGTGACTTCTTTTCTAAAAAAAATTATAAAGTATATACGATGTTTTTTTTAAGATTATATTTTAGTACAATTTTTTTAAAAAATCGTAAAAATTAAGTACTATAACAATAAATTAAATTTGCTTTTTTGTAAAATTGAAATAATATAATTTTCAAAAATTATAAAAATTAAAGTACCAAACAGATAAAAAAAATTTAAAAATATATACTGCAACATCATTTCTCTCCATTTATATGACTCAAACAAATCAGAGAAATGAGACAATTTCCATTTATCTGGTATCATTTCTATCTACCAAACACACCCGTACAGCCGGACGAAAAAATATTATTATTATTATTTCAAATTTTTTACAAAGTTTTTAGCAAATAACGTGAGAATTTACAATCACTATTTTTTAAGTTGGAGTGTACTATTTTGAATTGGGATTTGAATAGTAAAATTTTTGAATTTAAATAGTTGTATAATGTGATATAAATAGGCGTTGATGTGATGTTTTGAATGTAAAATTAATTTCTAGTATAATATAAAAAATAAAAAATAGGTGTTTGATTTGATGTTTTTGGGTAAAAAAATAAAATGAATAGTGGAAATCTAATCCAATCCTCCAAACAAACACGCCCTGAATAAATTTTTAGTCGAACATAATAGTTTGGGATAACGAGTTCACATATGCACTATCAAACATTTTATTTTATTTTATTTTATTTTTAAACTTACACATTTATGCACTTTACGGGATTGAACCACAACCTGACCAAAGAGTAGTCAACCGTTTGAACTACACTTCATCGGCATACCGACAAGATTTACATTTTTTTTTGGTGAACCGAGTGGTTTAAAATTTTGAAATAATGGCTTAATTATATATTTTTAATTAAAAATTATGTGTAAAATTTTTTATTAAGAAAAATAATGTAAAATAATTTTGATATTTTTTTGTTCTTTATTCATATATGGATTTATTTGTACATTAAAATCAAAATAATTTTTACTTACATAAATTACAAATATATCATCACATATTATTAATTTTATTCATAAAATATTACTATTTCGTAACGTATTACAAAATCTTAAATAATTACCCCTAAAGAATATCTAGTATAATACTGTTTTTTTTTTAAAAAAAAATCTATAAAAGATATTTTTTTTTTTATTAAAACACAGCTAAGGTGTGTTTGTTTGGGGATTTGAATTTTAGATTGAGATTTGAATAGTAAAAAATTTGAATTTGAATAGTTGTACGATGTGATATAAATATGGATTGATGTGATGTTTTGAATGTAAAATTAATTTTTAGTATAATATAAAAAATAAAAAATAAATGTTTGATTTGATGTTTTTTTTGGGAGGGGGGAAGGAAAAATTTTGTGAATAGTAGAAGTTCACCAAAATCTTTCAAACAAACACACCCCAAATATATTTATTTGAAATAGACAAAAGAAAATCCTTTGTTTTTTTTTTAACCGAAAATATTCTCCCGTCTCATTTCAAAAAGTATTTTGATTATTGTAATAGATTAAAAAAATAATACTATCTTTATTTCAATTTAAAATTAACTTTTAATTATTTTTGTCGGTAATAATCATACATTAATATTAAAATACTATTAATTTTAAATGTAATTAACTTCTACCTAAATTACAAATATATATTATATATACAATTACTTTACATATAAAATAAAAAATCAAAAATGTCAAAATATTTTACACATTTCCATTTTTAACATTTTTCCTTTTTAATAATTGTATGTATAATGAAAGGGTAAACTGTGTCTCGTAACCGACCCCTATCACTTTAGTCTCGTGGAGCATATCGTAAACTAGTCCTATAAGTAAAATTTTTTCGCTGTTTTAGTATTCCGGCGTCGAAGACGCTTGTATGGCTCGCCGGAGGCTATGTGTCCGCCAGGTCAGTGACACTTGGCGGACACGTGGATTTTATTATTATTTTTTCATTTTTTAATTTATTTTTAATTTATTTAAATTTTATTTGTCTTTTTTAATTTTTTTTATTTGGTCCAATAAAAAAAATAATAAAATAAAATCCACATATCCGCCTGTCGCTGACTTGGCGAGACACCCAACAGACACATGTCTTCCGGCGAGCCACGCGGGCTTCTCCGGCGCCGGAGGACTAAAACAACAAAAAATTTTCACTTATAAAATTAGTTTGCGACCGGCTCCACTTACGGAACTAAAATAATAAGGATCCAATTTACCTTTACTTCACAATTTATATGTCACTGTAGACTCTATCTGTAACTTTTAAATATATATTTTATTTATTTATTTATCATTCTGCCCTTACTTTTTTATACAATTACTATTTGCAGTACGTTCTTTTTATCAAAACAAATAGCATATTTTTCTAAAAAAAATTATATATATCATATTTATTATTTTTATATTATCTACAAAATTATTTATATTTACATAAAATTATAATTTCAAATTATTTCACTAAATAAACACATAATTAGTCTTTGCACTACTATATCTATAGTTATTAAGATACTTCCTTTATTTTAAACCCGTTTTCTTTTTGATATGGTTCAAACATGTTGCAATATTTTTAAAATAAAAAATAATTATTTATATTTAATTTCAACCCTTTACTTAATACCATCCACCTAAAAAATAGTGCCTAAAGCAAATGTTGCACCATAGAGAATACTTTATAGAACTGAACAGTTTTTAAATATGTAATATTTATGTTTACCTTTTTTAATATATAATTTTTTGTACAAATATTCCATAATATATTTTTGTATTTTTTTTTTTAATTTGTAATACATTGATATAAAAATTAATATTATTATTATTATTATTATTTTTATAATTATGGATAAATTAAGTTGGAAAGAAAGTAGTATGAAATTAACAATATATTTATACAATATTTGCTAAATTAAGAAAGTATCAGTTTCAGCATATATCCTGCCGTAGATGTGACTAACGCAACACACTGCACTTTATTTAGTTGATACCAAACAGGCTAGCGATCGAATTCGAAGGGAGACCAGACCCCCAACAAGTGTTCCACGCCACGCCACTTCCATCTCCATTTCCATGTGAAATCAATCTTTTTTAACGCACCCACGGCCCGAAACCCTAAACCCCTTTCGATCCCACCCAATTAATTGCTTCATTTTGACGTTTGGATTTTGCAGTATCTTATTGTTTCACTGCCCCAGTTGAATGAATCAATTAATACTTTAATTTTGTAATACAAGAAGATTTCCGAAAGCATTCTTATTTCTTGGTGAAACTTGGGAGCTACACCGGGGAAACAATGGACGATGCATACGCTCGATCTGTTAGTGAGGTAAAGAAATTCAACATTTGGTGAAGCAAGCCAATTAATAATCTTTTTTTTTCTTTTTCTCAATTTCTTGTTCTTTTGAAATCAATCAGCACAGTGCAGTTGTAGAATACAGTGGAGCTTAGTTGTTCTCGGCTTCAGTTTTGTTGTGTAGGCATTCGTGTGACTTCCTTTGCGGATTTGAGTGCTTATGAAATTTTCCTTTCTGACTTGTTATGGATCTTGACAATTTCGTTTTCTACGCTTTTGAAATTCTGTGAATTTGAACAGGTTTTGGAATTCTTTGCCGTGGATCCAACAAAAGGCTTGACGGATTCCCAGGTAAATTAGTTCTTGTTTCTGCTTGTGCAACCAATGGTACGGATCAATGTGGTTACTAACTCCAGATAATTTTCAGGTCGTGCAGCATTGTAGATTATATGGAAAAAATGGTATGGCAATATCTGTCTTATTAATTCCTTCAAATTTACAGTTTTGGTTATGCTATGAGACTATATCTATCGTACTCTCACTAATGTGTGGCCTTGTCATCTTTTTGATGCATGTAATTTGCTTGGTTGCAGTGCTGCCCCAAGAACAAAGTACGTTGGCTACAAGTTTCACTCTACCTCTCTGTAGTTATATGTCTGGTCACTCTTAGTTTTGACAAGATTCCTTTATTTCTGGCTCTTTATTAACTCAAAACTTAATATTATGCCCCTATGTTTACTGCAGTAACATTAATTGTAGTTAGTTTGTTGTCATTGGGTAACTAGGAAATCAAACCGGGACAAATAAGCATGTTGTACTCAGGGAGAAGATCTTGGTGACATAAAATCGATGGCTGCATGTTATTTAGCTGCATCCGCATTTTGTTAGATATGTTTCACATATATCCTTTTTTTTTTTTTTTGGAAAACTAAGGAGATTTAATTATAGAAAGTGCAAAATTATAGCTGCATAGATTTAGGAAACAAAGAGCGAAAACCAAAAACTGATGCATACCTTAAAAATCCAAAACATTTGGGCTTGATTGGATCTATGTCATAATATATGTTAGTATTATGCTACATACATTTTATCAGGAAAGCTATTTTATACTTTTGACAAGGCTTTATATAGGTTTACTTGGAATTATCTGAAGTTTTTCTTCTTTGTTTGTTGAATAGAAAATATTTCTGATGTTTATATATGTAGAAGGTGCTTTTTTCTTTGTATTTCAATTTCATCACTTACACTCTTTGTTTGTTGAAGTTATTTCTGAGGTTGGAAGCGCTATGTGATCAGATCTTGGTTCTTACTTTTTACAGGCACTCCTTTTTGGAAATTGGTGCTGAAGCAGTTTGACGATTTACTTGTGAGAATATTGATTGCAGCAGCCGTAGTGTCCTTCTTTTTAGCGTTGGCAAACGGAGAGACAGGATTATCTGCCTTCTTGGAGCCTTCAGTAAGATAACTTTCTTAATTGCTGTACTCATCCATATGATGATGCATGAAGAAAGCCTATGGTGCTAAAAGTAACCTCCTTGACGTGTTTTGAGTTCTGCAATTGAGTGTTTTGTTGGAATTATAAATCATATATTTGTAAAACTTGTACCTAACTAGGGATATAGTTTAAAATAGATCTTTGCTAGATGTAAACAATTACATAAGCATATTTATACAGGTCATCCTCATGATATTGGCCGCAAATGCAGCTGTTGGAGTCATCACGGAAACAAATGCTGAAAAGGCCCTTGAGGTCAGTTTTCTCATAAATAATTGGAACATTTGATATCATGCATGATTACCTTAAATGTCCTACATAATACTATATTGTTAAGAGTGCTTGTTGAGTTTCTAACAAGAATTGCATTAGTCGCTGTTGCTGGATGCTTCGCAGATGTTTCACAATCTTGAGAATTCACTACAGCCTCAATGCAGTTTCTGTCCTGCTATGTTTGCTAAACAGGCAAACATAGGTTGTGTTTCCATGGAACTGTGTACAAAGTTGGTTGTTGATAATAAGATTTACAGGCATTATGAAAGAAAGTGACATTGAATTTATGACCATCGCTATTCAAAGAAAAATAAAGTTCAATCTAACCCGTGTCATGCGTTTGACAGACATATTAAACTGTTTCTCACTTTTTGATGGTTTCTTCCCCTGGTTGAAGTTTTCTTTTATCTTTGTTTTCTTGGTTTGCAGGAGCTGCGAGCATATCAAGCTGAAGTGGCTACTGTCTTGAGAAATGGTAAACAAGCATTCGTAACTCCTAAGCCACCATTTCCAATTTTCCATTCTCCTTTTTTTTCATAAAATTTCTATGGTTAAAATTCTTATCATCATTCTGTATGCTTTTGTGAGCTTGATTTGTTACATGATATTGATACAGGCGATTTGAATTGCCGCTGATCAGTTAATGTGTAATCTTGTTTGTTGTAGTGCTCAATCTTAAAATACAAACATTTTATGAATATTTGTAACCTACCTAGGGAAGTACATTATTATTCCTTGTTTTATCATTCTCTACTCTTAACTTCTAGCAACCTGATACTTATTGGTCTCCTCATTCTGATTGTTGCTTATTATGTTTTATACTAATCACGTCTCTGATTTTTTCTGGTGGTGCTTTCGAAGATCTTTCACATCAAAACATATTCAACATCATAATTTTTTTTTTCTACAGGCTGTTTCTCAATCTTACCGGCAACTGACCTTGTCCCTGGAGATATTGTTGAAGTTTGTGGTATGTTTTCAATCACTTTCCATTACTACTAAAGCCATGGTGCTGCATCATTATCCTTGTACATATCTGATCTAATTTTGTTTATTGTGGTCTTGTAGTGGGGTGCAAGATTCCAGCAGATATGAGAATGATAGAGTTGCTGAGTGATCAGTTGCGGGTTGATCAAGCCATTCTTACAGGTACTTTATCTTGATGTATTTGGGCTTTAAAATGACATTCCTAGGAAAATGAGTTACATAAGGCATTAACTTTGCTAGGATATATAGGCATCTCTGAATCTATGTTCTACTTTAGAGACTGCTGTGTGCTGAATATTTAGAGGTGTTCTACATTTATTGTCATGTTCTTTTTCAAAAAACTTTGTGTGCTCACATGATGGAACTTTGGCTGTGCATTATTTTAGTACTAGGTACCTGTTTTAAATTTGTATTTGTGAACCCTTTTTGTAACAAGTATGCTATTTGTTCATCCTCGCTCCCCAGTTGCAAATGGCTTAGCCTCTCTGCCATATATGCTATGGCCAGGGGCTCCTATGACATTTCCATGTTGCATGGTGTAAGGTGCAGTTTTAATATTAATATTTTTATTTTTTAAGCTTGTTTTAATATTTACATGTGCTGTGCCATCCGCTATTATCAACTATGCCTTGTATGTCACACAACAATAGACATGCCACTTTTCATTGTTAATACTAACTTTGTGAGGTCATCGCATTGTATTGAACTTGCATGCTCAAATTTTGTTTGTTTTGTTTCCAAGCATTTTTAGCGAATTCAGTTCTGCTTCTCATGTAGTAATGTTAGTGACAAGAAATTTAGTTCTGTTTCTCACTTATCGATAGTAATTCCTATGATCTTGTATAATCTGTGAAACTTTGACCTTAGGTACTGGTTATGGCATAACTTCAACTGCATTTAAGCCAAAAATTGGATTTATATTCAATTCCATGTATTTATTTCCGTTTACCACTGCATGCTATTCTATGTTGTGTTTATAGTGTTCTTCTATAATTCCTCGTATCTTGTGCTGCTACAAAGGCATGCATAATTCTTTTTTCTTGGACTATAATAGGTGAGAGTGCTTCTGTGGAAAAGGAACTGGATGCCACCAATGTGACTAATGCAGTATATCAAGACAAGACAAACATTCTTTTCTCGGTAATATTTGAAAGCTTTTCCATTGATAACCCCAAAACAGAATGTTCTGCCAATTACTGTTGGATAATGGTGCATTTGTTGTGGCACAGCTAGTTCTGTGTTCAGATTAAATTTCTTGCTTGCAAGCAATTGCCATGACTTAGTTACTTGTTGGTCTTATGGATGGATTCTTTGTTTAGGTTGGTCAAATTGTTTTGATTTGTCTATGAAATAGGAGACCACGTGTGTACTACTACTAATGTGATGTGGGATATAGTTGCATAAAACTTTGCACTTTTGCTCAACCTCTTTGTACATACCAATTTGTGATTTTACTCTGCAGTGATTTGTCTTGGGAATAGATTGCATCCGATCCTCTTTAAGTATTATTAATATTAAACAAGATCAGTGATCTTTAATTGATTTGTTTGGTTTCCTAGTCTGAAACCAATTCTGCTATTGGTATGATATCAATTGCCCGCTCATTAATACTTCTTTTGCATGCTAAGATGCCAGGGTTTAAAATTGTTGGCTAAAGAAATCATCCTAATTATGGTGAGCAATTGGCATATAAAACTTGCCTTCCGTTATTTTCCAGGGAACAGTTGTAGTAGCTGGGAGAGCAAGAGCGGTTGTAACTGGTGTTGGTTCTAACACTGCAATGGGAAGCATACGCGACTCCATGCTGCAAACCGAAGATGTATGCACCTTTGAACCTGTTACTTTCAGTAGGTTTTGGTTTGTTACAGGCTTGTTTTCTTGTTAAGGTGGAACATAGTGTATGGATTATTTGGTCTGCAAAACATGGGTATCTCTATAATAAATAAATGAACCTCAACTACTGCAAAGTAGATATAGACATATGCTTATATCTGGTATTAAAATGAAGCCAGTGTGTAGCCAAAATCTTAAAATATCCTTTATTTTCTCCTTATTACTGGATTTGCATTAAATATTGCGGCATGCAAACGTAAACATCCTTATGAGTGGCAATGGAACACACATTTCCCTTCACTTGGCTACTATATTTTGCAGGAAGTGACACCACTAAAGAAGAAGTTAGATGAATTTGGTACCTTCTTGGCTAAGGTGAATGCATCAATTAGCTCTTTCATTTTTGTTCAATGTGTCTGATTTTTCATTTTTTGTACTCCTAACATAGCCAGGCATGTTAGTTCTTTCTGAGATTACTTGCTCTAGGTTATTGCAGGAATATGTGTTTTGGTTTGGATTGTTAACATTGGTCATTTCCGGGATCCCGCCCACGGTGGCTTCCTTCGCGGGGCAATCCATTACTTCAAGGTACACGAATATGTTGTATACAGAATTTTAAAAGTAGCACATCTCTTCTATTTAAGATTTTGGTGGGTTGGGACATTGCTAAAGCTAATGTTACTGAACTTTCCCCACACTTTGTATAACTTATTCTTGCCACTAGAATCTCAATTTTACATTAATCTGCACCAGATGTTTTTAAGTTGTCTCATATGGTACTTCATATATTAGTCCATTCCTACTTCAAACTGTGGAGATAGCATTACTTGTACTCATTATAGAGGTTAAATGATTGAATTTTTTAATGAAATACTATATGCTTTGATCAGGCATATCCAAAGTCAATTCTATGAAATATATTAATGTTTTTTTTTTTTTTTTTTTTTTTTTTTATAATTAATGAAATTAAAATTTTCAGTTTGTCTCCAACTGAGTTTATGTGTTGATAGTTTTACTATGCAACACTTTTGCATTTTCATTTTTCTCCTTATATGTGTCTGATAAACCTAATTAATGCTATTATTTTTAGATTGCAGTTGCTCTTGCTGTTGCAGCCATTCCGGAGGGACTACCTGCTGTTGTTACAACGTTAGTCGTTAACTCTGCTCTTGTAGTTATGATGTTCTACATGTGTAATTGTAGAGCATTGCTCGTATATGGTTTTGACCTAAAGGCAAATTATGTATGCCCTTTGTCTTGGGAAGCAGATTGTGCACATATGTTCTATAACAATTCTCTCAAAATTAAGTCTTTTCTATCTCTAGAATTCAATGTTGTAGCTAATGCATCCATGAAGATTGAAATCTTATTCCATCTTATGCATTCATGACATCTATGCTTCATAAGTTCTCCATATGCCTCTAAGCAGATTTCCTATGTTAATGTAGTCTTTGTCTTGCGCACATCTTAAGTTCATTGTTGAAATAGGGTTAAACTTACTTTGCATTTTCAGAGCATGTTTCATTGAAAGTTAAAAAAGTGCTTATGAAACGTCCTCGTGATATGATACTACATAAAAAAAATTGTAGTGACAGGGTTTTGTTAGAGTCAGTGAGTTTTTTACCACATTCATATTTAATACTTGCCTATACATGCATGCTAACAGGTGCTTAGCTCTTGGTACCAAACGCATGGCTCGTTTAAATGCGATAGTTAGGTCATTGCCATCGGTAGAGACCTTAGGCTGCACAACAGTAATTTGCAGCGATAAGACGGGTACACTGACTACCAATATGATGTCTGTATCAAAGGTGCTTCCATAAATTTTCTCTTTTTATTATATAATCTTTCAATATTCCACTTTTAAGTTTCTGAAGGGGAGGATTGGAAATATGCAATTCGATAATATATTTGTGTTTCTTTTCTGCAAGAAATATTTGAACTTTTGAAATTATTACACTTATGGATTAAGATGATTTATTATTAGACACCATATCCTTTCTGGCTCACTGAACTAGCTAGCTTTTCTCTGCATCAATTTATCAAATAAGAAGTTTTTATTTCTTGTTTCGGCTTCTAAGTGCGATTTATTTTCAATTCTTTGATGCATGCAAATGTATATGTATACTTGCAACACCTTTTTTTTTCCAATTATTTTCTGTGGAATACAATTTATTACTTTATATTTTTTATTTTATTTTCTATCATTTCCTCTTCTTACATTGCTGTACAAAGATCATCAACAAAGTGATAAACTGATAATTCCCTACTTTTAATCTTTCTAAGAAGATTTGTAACTAATGTTCTCACACTTAGCGTTCTCATAGTCGATGGGTGACCCTTTGAAACAACGTGAAAAGTTGACTCTAGACAAATTGTATGTTTTTCCTGTGCAGGTATCAGTTCTTCATTCTGCATATGACTCTCCTGTTGTAGCTGATTATAGCGTAAGCGGCACAACATATGCGCCAGAAGGTGCCCTCTTTGACAGCAGTACAGAGATGCAGGTAGTTATATTTCTAATGCATTCTTTGGTTGTGTTCTTTTAGTGTCCTATGGTTGTGGGATTTTTGCTTTTAGTTATTGGTAATTGTGAAAAAGTGTTTTGGGGAATTGTAATGTTGTTTGGGTAAAATAATTTCTTTTCTTATTTTTTTTTTAATATTTTGTCTGAGAAAATAATTTATTTCAATTCGGAAATGTAGGTTAAAAAATTATTGGAATTGCGAGAAATGTAAAAGAACAGGGCTCTTTACTTCTACTTATAATTTGTTAGCCATCTAATCAATTACCTATGGTTAACTCAGTTTGTAATTTGTATCTTCATTCCATTCTTGGAAATTGTTTAATTCTTATATGCCTAGATTAAGAATTAATATCTATGCGATTCCAGATGCTTCCCAGTCTTCAGCTTGGTTATTGATCCAATTAGAAAAATGTCTTTGAAATATGCTTGCATCTTTCTTCTGATTATTGTACTTTAAACCTTCATAATTATATGTGAGGGTTCTTTATTTTTTCCCATTTCTTTCTATACCTTTAATATATTAACTTGTCACATGTGTTTTTTAATATTACAGAAAAAATATGTTGCCATGATATGTTGATGTTAATTTGCCTGAATTAATATTTGTGTGGGACATGATGCAGCTTGAGGTTCCGGCCCATCTTCATTGTCTTCTACATACCGCAATGTGCTCTGCACTGTGTAATGAATCTGTTCTTCAATACAACCCAGATAAGAAAAGTTATGAAAAGATTGGTGAATCAACTGAAGTTGCACTTCGAGTACTTGCTGAAAAGGTTGGTTAGTGTTTACAGGCTAATTTACCGATTCTGACAAATTCCTGGGTTTTTGTTTTGGATGTGGTTTGGGAGTGGTTTGGAAATACTAAAATTTTGAATTAGATAGGTTTATTTGTTGTCATGTAAATGGGTGTTTGATGTGATGATGTAAAATGATGTTTGGATGTTAATATTTTAAATGAATTATAGATTTTGATGTGATGTTTTTTAGAGGGAAAAACATGATGAATAGTGCGAGATCCAACCTACATCCAAACAACCAAGTTCATTTTTCTATTTTTAATTACTGAATCTGATTGTCTCTATCATTTTCTACAGATTGGGCTTCCTGGTTTTGATTCTATGCCTTCAGCTCTTACTATGCTACCCAAACATGAACGGGCATCATATTGCAATCATTATTGGGAGAATCAATTCAAAAAGGTTTGCTTCTGCTTCTACTTCTGCTTATGCTACATGCTAGTGTTTTTTTTTTTTTCGTCTCATGTGCTAATAATGGGCAAGGACCATTTTTTTCTGGTTTTTCACTTTAACTCCAGGATAATTGATAATGCACATGTATTCTCTAGTAAATAATTTCAGTGTTTGGCTTTAACATATCCTAATATACCTTATCATCCTTTGTAAATATGATATCTTTTAGCATTCCCTCAAAAACATTGTTCTTGTAGGTCTCTGTTTTGGAATTCTCTCGTGATAGAAAAATGATGAGTGTCCTCTGTAGCCGGAAGCAGGCACAAATCATGTTCTCAAAAGGTGCTCCAGAGAGTATTGTTTCTAGATGCTCAAATATCATGTGCAACAATGATGGTTCAACAATTCGGTTAACAGCAGACATTAGGTCTGAGATAGAGTCAAAATTCCGAAGGTCTGGTATATTTTACTGCAATTTTCTCTTGTTGTTTATGCTAAAAATATTTTTATCCACACTTTAATTTACTTTTTGGGATTTTGAACTATGAAACACAAACATACAACTCCAATCATATTGATCTTCAATTTTTCCCACTCTTGTACGTTACACAAAATTCAAGCCTAAACATTATTTATTAAGTTTCAAATCATCATTCATATTTATGTACATTCATACCCTCAATTTTTTCTATAAAATCATCTAATCGTAACATATATAATGTGTCTTACTCTATTTCAGAAACCTTTGCACAAGAAACACTCGTATGTTTAAACCATTATATACATACCTAAATGAAGCCTGCATTGATTGTCTCTTTTGAATAAGACCCTTTTGTGTACATTCTTGTACCTTTTTGAGTTTATATACAAGTTTGGTATCATGGCTAGAATTCTGAAAGTTTAAGGTTTATTGGTACATAACCTGATTTCATATTTTATAATGGGGATGTGGTTATTTTTATTTTCCTTTTTTTTTTTATCGGAAGTTATTTTTATTTTCCTTATCTACACCTTTGGTAGTTCAAACACTGTTACTAGTACTGCAATTTATTATTATTATTATTATTATTATTATTATTATTATTATTATTATTATGCGAAATTTTGTTTTCAAGTGGTATGAAATTTTCAAAATAAAATCCTTGCAATAAGGGGCATCTAGATACTCAACAACGAAATTTTGTGAAACTGATATTATTCTTATATGTTTGATTGCCTTCACCAAGAAAACATGGAGCTAATGTCTATTTTTAAATGGGTACATTAAAACTTATCATTAGCTGCTGGTTTTTGTTTGGCAACCTTTTGCCTTATACGGAAATGATCTGTTTGTCCGTGACAGTTTTGCCGGAAAAGAAACCTTAAGATGCTTGGCTCTAGCATTGAAAAGGATGCCACCTGATCAACAAACTTTGTCCTTTGATGATGAGAAAGACCTTACATTTATTGGGTTGGTATGCTTTCTTTTTTGGAATCTCAATTTTCTTTTTACCAACTAAAATATATATTTGAATAATTGATTTCATTATTCAGTCATGGTTGGATGACTTACTGTAAACAGATTTTTTTTCATATCTAACCTTCTCTTGTGGTTCTATGTTATTCACAATTTCATTTTATTATTATTATTATTATTATTATTATTATTATTATTTTTATCATTATTATTATTATTATTGTTGTTATTGTTATTATTATATTTTCACTTTCTTGTTTGGGCATCATTGAGTCCATCATAATTCCTTTCCTGTATCTGTTTTTATGAATGAAAAGGTCGGTATGCTTGATCCACCAAGGGAGGAAGTAAGAAATGCTATTCTTTCTTGTATGACGGCTGGAATACGTGTAATAGTTGTCACTGGAGATAACAAGGTGAAATAAAGCAATATTCGTAGATTTGTTTTATTTCTGTCTCTCTTACATCCTGTTATTTGGGAAGAAAATACCACTTAATTTTCTATGTACTTGCAGGCTACAGCTGAATCATTGTGCCAAAGAATTGGTGCCTTTGATCTCTCGGATGATTTTTCTGGGCTTTCGTATACTGCTTCTGAGTTTGAGAATCTTCCAGCATTGCAGAAGACAGTGGCACTGCAGCGGATGACTATCTTCACCAGGTATTGCTCACATGTTATTATCCTTCTTTCTTCCCCCAACTGTTCAGTCTTGTCTCTCATGTCACAGAATTTTTTATTTTTATTATTATTATTTTTTAAATTGTGGCTCTGCTAGGGTTGAACCATCTCACAAGAGGATGCTTGTTGAAGCATTGCAGCATCAAAATGAAGTGGTAAAGTGCTTAAATTATTATATTTTAACTATTATTATTATTGTATTTGTGATACGTTGACTTGGATTTTTTTGTGCAAAACAACAAAATGCCTCTCTTTGATCCTTTATGTTGTGCTTGATATTGTAATGCAATGTAATAACTCTTGGAGTTTTCTGGGATTTTTTTTTTAATAGATTATGTGTTTTTAGTTTTTATGTTTGAGGTGAAATAATTGTTAGATGTGATGTTCTGTACGAAAAATGGGTGTTGGATGTGATGGTTTTTGAGAAATTTTGAAAATTTGCGTAGTAAAATAAAGGGGGAAAAAATCAAAGAGAATGATACTTACTCCGGCTGTTTTTACCTTCGTTAAGCTGCTAGACAGGCAAAAACTTCTATCCATGATAGGCAGCAAAATCGAGGCAGTATATTAATTATTTCTGTAAGGAAAATATCGCCTAAAAGTTACAGAGTCTCTGCAGTGCACCAACTAAATGCATCATATCTTCCAGTTGTTGGACTAACATTAGTTTACATGGGCATGAGTAATGGGTCTATGATTGCTAGTCTCTTGTTTTGTAATTTTCTTCATTGGCCCTCAGAATTGAAGCACTGCACCATGCCTAAAGAGCTGAATACACGCTTGAGACATGTTCTCACTTGTCTCTAATTACAAACCTTGGTCTCTTTTTTTAAGGTTGCTATGACTGGAGATGGTGTTAATGATGCACCTGCCCTGAAGAAAGCTGATATTGGAATAGCTATGGGATCTGGAACTGCAGTAGCAAAGGTGCTCCCCTCAGGAACTGTTTGCTGGAAATATTTATTTAGCTTCAGTTTTGCATAGGAGTGCCCACTGGCATGTGATTTATATCTATCATTATCTATCAAGTAGACATGGATCTCTGTTTCTCTGTTCTCTTCTCAGATATGTAAACATGGGCAGTTGTGTTGTAACTTTTGTTGTTTGATTGCATACTGAAATTCTGTTGGTCTATAGGTGGAAATGAATACTTCGACTGTGACTTATCTTATTGCTTGACTTCCAAATAGTTCAAATAATGTTTTATCCTGTATTCAAACTTGAATCTATTATATTTGTATCACAAATTGGCATTTTTGTTTATGAACCTTCAAATATCTTTATGCATAAGTATTTTCTGATTTGGTTTCTCTATCTTTAATTGCAGAGTGCTTCCGATATGGTTTTGGCAGATGACAACTTTGCCACAATTGTTGCAGTAAGTTTACACATTTATTTTGTTTTGATTGGATTAATCTCTATTCCCAATAATTCGTTTTTTGTCTGTGTTAATCATGTCTTGTTTTGTGATTAGGCTGTCGCAGAGGGGCGGGCTATTTACAATAACACAAAGCAGTTCATCAGATACATGATTTCATCAAATATTGGTGAAGTAGTATGCATTTTCGTGGCTGCTTTGCTTGGCATTCCTGACACTCTTGTGCCTGTGAGTTAATTTCTATGGGCATATTTAATTCATATTATGAAGTTGATAATATGTTCATCTTTTAGCCTTTTTGAAGTTTTCCTGCTTTTATTGAATCATGTGTGGTTGTATTCAGATCTGTAGGTTACAACATTTATTATAGTTTTCAACTATCTATGAAATCTACCTTCAAAATTCAGATGCATTCTGAATGTTATCACTTCTAAAGAGTCAAGAACGTTCCATCATGGTCTTTTCATTTACGTTTCATTCATTACAGGTCCAGCTGCTCTGGGTGAATTTAGTAACTGATGGCTTGCCAGCAACCGCGATTGGGTTCAATAAACAAGACAGTGATGTTATGAGGGCCAAACCTCGCAAGGTCTCTTGGACATGATCTTTCTACTATTGCATACTACCTGTAGTATTTTTTGAGTTATGACAAGAAAATTATTTCTGTACCTCTTTCATTTGGTTTTGTATCAGTAATCTCTGTCTGAAGCTAAGGGAACCCCAGTTGTTTGTCATGTCCATAAAATTGAATTAACATGATTCTAACTATGATGAACTGCCAGAATATCTACAATTAGCAATGCCTGAAATTGTTTGGGATCACACTTTCAGCTTATGACCCAATCAGGATAGATTATACTTAATCTTTTGAAATTTTTTTGCATCATATATCACTATCCTGTAGCCATTTTCAAATATGGTTCTTAAGTTTATTTATTTATTTTTATTCCCTTAATCTTTATTGATGCATGCGGGAATTGACAGGTTGTCTTTATTGATAAGGTATTGCTAACCTTCTTTAACTTGTCTGAATTCCAGGTCAATGAAGCTGTGGTCACTGGATGGCTGTTCTTCCGTTATTTAATTATCGGAGGTACCCATGAACATGTTATCTTCTTGGTTGCTATCGTCCAATTATCATCTGTTGTGAATTGGTCATGTTAATAACTTACCATTCAAATTTATATTCGAGAACAATGGAGTAACTATAACTAACTTTTTAGTTGACTAGAATTCCAGTTTTTAAATTTCCCTTCTAAGTTCTGTGACAATAATAGTTCAAATTGTGATATGTTGGCTTCTTCATGACATTGCTATTAAAATAAGCCAAGAACAGCATAAGCAGTAAAAGTTACACCTCTGCTCTTTGGGAAACTGGTGAAACATGAGTAAAGAGATGACTGGCAGCTATCTTTCAATTTTCAAATTTTAAAGAAAGAGAATATAGTTATGTCCTTCAATTAATATTTTTAGTTATTATTATTATATACTATTTAGTAAATCTAATATCTCTTCTCCCTTGTACGGTGTATTCCTCTTTTATTATTTAATTTCTTATTTCATTGATTTGGGTGGTGCAGTTTATGTTGGGCTTGCTACTATTGCTGGATTTGTGTGGTGGTTTCTCTACTCAGATAATGGACCTAAATTACCGTACACTGAGCTGGTAAGTTTCAATGAACAGTGTGGATCAGGGTTAATAAAATCTTTGTACTATGGTCAATGTGAATGAGGTTATGAAAAACTAATGAAGTATTAGAGGAGTATAATTGTGTATCTCGACTAAACTTTGTGATTATGTGGGATTTTTGGAGGTTTATAAATAGTGTAGCATGTAAATCATTCATCTGGAATACCAAATTTGCATTGAGCTATGAATGACCGAAAGACAACTTATGAAATTCATGGTTGAAAGTTAGCTATGTAGGCATCAAACTTCTAATGATGGTAGCTTGGATAATGAATTTCCAGTCTAGAAAAAGGGGTCTTATTTTCGGACATCTGAAAGAAAGAATAAGAGCTCTCAGTTTCCAACCCCAATTGTTGTAATTGATAAGTTTGGTTGCTACAGCTTTAAAGTCTAGTTTATTGTGGTTTTGTATTCTTCTTGAATACATTTGTCAGACTAATTCCTCTTTACATTTCAGATGAATTTTGACAGTTGCCCAACAAGGGCAACAGATTATAGCTGCACTGTATTCAGTGATCGACATCCTTCGACAGTTTCAATGACCGTCCTAGTCGTTGTTGAGATGTTCAATGCGTTAAACAACCTCAGTGAAAATCAATCCCTCATGTGAGTGGTAACATATTTTTATGTGTCACCTGCGTGAAATTGTGCAAATATTATGTAGTTCACTTTTATGTTGCCAAAGATTTAGTTCGAGCTTCATCTGCCACTATCACATTCTTACCGAGCATCTCTTACATGCACTTACATTTTTAACATCTTAGATTTCTGTTATTATTGATACAAGTTTGCAAATTGCATTTCTACTCATACCCTTACCTGTTTGAACTAACAACAATTTTAGAAAATGCATGAGTAATACTCATTCTTGAATTTTATGATACTCATATGTAAAAACTATTATCCATCTCGTATATTTTTCTTTGTCGTCTCAAGGAGCTACAGAGTTATACAAACAATTAACAATCTTTTTGCATTTGACCTTTAGAGTGATCCCCCCTTGGAGTAATTTATGGCTTCTTGGATCAATTGCACTTACAATGCTGCTTCATGTACTCATCCTCTACGTGGAACCGCTTTCTATTCTTTTCTCCGTAAGTTAACATTCTCTGTCATCTTGAATCTGCAACATATTTCTTTTCTTCTCAATTCATTATCGCATGCTGGTGTATTCTTTTATGCAGGTGGCACCACTGAGTTGGGCTGAATGGACTGTTGTCTTGTATCTCTCTTTCCCTGTAAGTCACTTCTCCTCACCGTTGCTTTAAACTCTTCACTACCCAATTCTGCTCTGCGCACAACTGGTGGGTGATTTTTCGATTTTCTATTGAACTTCACAGGTGATTGTAATTGATGAGATAATGAAGTTCTTTTCAAGAAGATCCATAGGTAACACTTCAACCCAAATCTATGCTATATATTTATTAGCCACAATACTTAACTCGGGCAGGCCTTAAAAGTTTTTGTAGTTCTGATGTCTCTTCTACTCAACCTCTCTACCTTCAGGTGGTAGGTTTAATTTCAGATTCAGGAGAGTCGATCTACTTCCAAAAAGTGAAGCCCACGAAAAGTGATGAAGATACATTCCACCCCTCAAAATTTCTCGGCGCAATACAGCTGCTATTTCAGGTAACATTATAGCTCCCTCCTCTTAAGTTTTTGTGGAATGAAATTCAGAAGGATTTTGGCTTGAGATTGACATCGATGGTGACACTGATTGCTGATGTCTGTTTAAGTTTAGTTAGCCATATGGATTTTGTCCTGAGATTTTGTAATTTACTGAAACAGAAAACATGAAAGGGGGAAAATGTCGGATTTATGAAAATCTTTTCTTGTCTGCTTCAGATTTCAGTACATATATTTATTTCAAAGTGCATATTCCAAAGAACAATTCTAAACCCCTTCTGCAGTCCGATTATTTTCTGTTTTCGCTAAATTTTCCGCATTCCCTCCATGTGTGCAACGCAACGCTCGTCGTAGCAATCTAACATACATTCCTTTCTCTTGTGCCCAAATTTGAAAAGGCACTTCAAATGGCATATGAATACACATCCAATAGAACTTTTAGCTTCAGTCTCGTCGACGACAAACATCGATAGAACTATCATATAAATAATTGCAAAAGAAACAACTTTCTTCATGGTAGATAAAATTTAAAACATATGTGTTTGTGTGTGTTTATGTTGTTTCTGTAGTGTTAATATGCCAAATTTTGGGTCTTATTTATACTGCAAAATTGCAATCTAATTTGATGGATTTGGAATTTTTGGTAAGTAGAGTAGTATTCATTTTTATATAGTACAGTCAATTAATGTTAATAATTAATTTCTATTGTTGTACTTGTACCTTAACATATTTAAGATTGTAGTGATCGTCGTTACTGTTATTTCCTAATAATGTGTTTTTATTGCATTCTTAGCTGTTTAGGAGTTATATAAAGTAAAGTGTGTTTGGACTATATTTCGATTTGGTTTTTGGTTTGAGAATAAATAAAAATAAAATTTCGATTTGGTTTTTGGTTTGAGAATAATAAAAATAAAATAGCGTTTGATGTAGATATATTTTAATTTATTATGTAATACTCTTTTCGAGTCTATAGATAATACATTTGTTTTCTAAAGGAAGTTTTCAGAAGTAATAACATCAGTTTGTAGAATATTTTGTATCTAATGAATTTTAATTTGATATAATACTTCTCTGTCCCATGTACCAAGTTTATATTGTCGTTTGTGTTCTTCCCACATCTCATATCATTTTTATTTTTCGAACACTTTAATTTTATTTTAAATTTTAATTTTTTTTAAAATTTTAATTAAACTTATGTTAATTTTAATTTATAATTAGTTATATTTTAAGATAATTATTTTCACTAATATATTCTTGAGTAATATTTATGTAGATAAATATAAATTTGGAAATATTTATAATATGCAATGTAATTAAATTTACCCAAAATAAAAGTATTCCATACTTCAAAACCGATAAGGATAACAAAATCTATATCTTTCCGAGGAGGTGTATTAAATAAATCAAATAATATATGTAATTTCATAGTTTTAGAAAAAAAAAAATTGAAAATAGTCTCAAATACAATTTAAACAGTCTGGTGTGTTTTTTTTTTTTTTTTAAATAATTAAAGAGATTCTTTTAAGAAATAAAAAATTGTAAAAATATTAAAATAATAAATATATATAATATATTAATTTTTTAGAAAAATATGCATATGATTTTTATTTTTCTTTAAAAAAAAAACATACACTCATTTCTTTTTTTTTTTTTCAATGTAAATTTCCTTTGGCCCTATTGTACCCTAGCTTAAAAGTGTAAAAATATATTGGCTCCGTTCACCAACATTTGTAGATGAAATAATTTTTTTTTTATTATGTATAGAATGAAAAATTGTATATATAAAAAAATAATATAAATTATTTTAAGTTAATATTTAACTTTTTAATTTTTTTAATAAATATTTGAAGTTCTTTTTAATATTTTGACTTTTTGCAAAATAGTATTTGAAGTTTTTTTTTTTTTTTTTTAACTTTTGTATAAAATATTTTATACATTATTATTATTATTTTTTTTTAAAGAATCACAATTCAAAATAATGTTAGGGAAAACAGAGCGATATTAAAAATAAATTCAATAATATTTATATATATATATAGTATATATTATTCATTGTTGATTACCAACTTTAATGTCTTGACATAAAATTAGTTAATATAAATTTATGTGTAAGGCATACCCTTATACATAGTAAATATAACATTCTGTTTTTTCTTTTCCTTTTTTTTTTTCTTTAAATTTGCATATAATAGTTTTTTTTAATTCATTTTCGACATTTATTTTATTTATTTAGTTAAAATAATTGTTTAATATAATATTTTATATAAAAATAAAAGAAAAAAATAATATTTCTGTTTGAAAAACTTAGTTTTGTTGGAGCAGACGGAAAGATTAAAAAAGAAAATGGTAAAAAGTTAATTGAAGATATTTTTACAATTTTAATTAATAATAAATAAAAAAAGAAAATATAATAAATGTAATATCAATTATGGTAAATACATATTGAAGAAAAAATAATAATTAAATATTAGATTTTGTACTTTGCCAAAGTAATAATCAAGTAAAATTAATATACAAACTTTATAGATTCAAAAAAAATTGTACTCCTCAAAAGACATAAAGAACAAATCCATAATTTCATGGTATTCCAACATCAATTATTTTGTGCATTCTTTTAGCTGCCAACACAATAAATTTAATTTGTTACAACTCTGAATATTTACACAATTTTTTTTAAAAAAAAATTAAAACTAAAATAATTTTAAAAATTAAATTACTTTTTTTTAAAAAAATAACTACAGTATTCATCCACACTTACAAAGAATTCTAAACCCCTTCTCCAGTCCAAATATTTACTGTTTTGTATAAATTTTCGACATTGTTTCTTCTTATACCCCCTTTTCAAAAAGCACTTAAAATTGCATATGAACACACATATGGCTGAACTAGTAGCTTCAGTCTCATTGACGGCAAATATCGATAAAATTATCATATAAATAATTGCAAAATAAATAAATTTTTTCATGATAGATATTTAGCAAAAATTATGTATATATTGATATGCTAAAATTTGGGTCTTATTTATATTGCAAAATTACAGTGTAATTAATTAATTTGTAATTTTTGGCAAGTGCATACTAGAATAAATATACTCAATTAATGTTAATATTTATTTTCTATAGCTAACATATTTAAGATAGCAATATTAGTTCGGAATAAGGTGATTATCATTATTGTTATTTCTATATAATGTGTTTTATATATATATATATATATATAAGAATTTAATTTAAATTTGCATTATTGTATTTTTAGGTGTAATATGAGTTATATATGAGTAATGATCATTATTGTTCTTTTTAAGTAATATACTTCAATAGAAATTTAATTTAAAATGATAACATTGTACTCTTAGGTGTTACATGAGGTATATACTAATATAAGGTAGTTATCACTATTTTTATTTCAATATAAATGTTTTTATAGGAATCAAATTTAAAATTATAAATTTAGAAATATTATATGAGTTATATAAGGTAATTATCATGATTGTTGTTTTTAGATGTATTTGGATTTGAATTTTGAATTTTGAATTTGAATTTTAAATAATAAAAAAAAAACATGGATCCTTGTTAATTTCAACAGGAGATACTCACATTTAAACATTAATTATATATAATTATATTAATTATATAATTTAATAATATAAATTCGCATAATTTATTTCTAGTTATTCAACATACGTGCTGAAATTAATTTCAAGAAAAAAAGAATCTTCCGTAAGGGATGGTAAACGGTGTGAAAATAGACATGTCTAATTCGCCTAGTGTGACTTAATAAAGTACTCCATCCATCCGTCCCACATAATTTATCACTATTTTTTATTTTCGTTCGTCCGACATAATTTATCTTTTCTATTTTTGGAAATATAATTATGCACTTTAATCGCATTTTAAATTTTATAATTTTCTTAATTTTAATTAAACTATTTACTTATCTTAATCTTAATCTATAATTATTTTTACTAAATAATAATTATTTTTACTAATATACTTTTTAATTACTTACTAATTATACTTTACCTAAATTCTCGTGTCTACGGTAATACACCACATTACATAGGACGGATGGAGTAATAATAATAAAAATAATAATAATAATAATAATGTACCCAAATTTTGGACAAGGAATAATGGGCAAGAATAGACTACCATTTCGAACTTTTTATTCTTAGAAAATTACAACAGTTAATTTGATTTGATTAGCACAAATATATAAAATAAACAACACATAAAATAACGGTATATGGTAATATCATAATTTTTTTTTATAAAACACAATAAATGTTTGTTGATGCAATTTTTCAACAATAAAAAGTAAAATTCGAAAAATAGAAATTATTTTCGAATTTGATAAAATAAATGCCTGAGATTAGGAATTCCTAGGCACTGTAGGATACATAAGTAAAATAAGAAAAATAAAAAACTACAGACTGAAAAAGTAAATGGTGATCCCCAAAAGTAATTTTCTTGAATTTGATGTCGATTGAAAATGGTTTTTCAGAACAGACCTGAATACTTAAATAACCCCTTAAATAAACGGTTTGAACCGTCGTCTGGTCGGTTGCAGCAACCGTTGTCAACCGCCCATAAGGTCCTCCTCTGTCGACACGTGTGTTAACCAACTCACCAACCGCTCGCGCCAGTTACAGCACTCAACTGGCTCGGCCGACCGCCTCTGAACACCTTACCGCCTTAAATGGGTGGCTGGCTCGACCGGCTACTCAGCCGCTCAAAATAACCCCTGACTCCTTAGACGGACTGCAGGCTAACCGACCAATCCAAATACTAACTGGTCGCTAGACCAAACGACTCATTGGTCGCCCTATCAAGCGACCACCATCTGGTCCCTTCAATCGGCTGAACAACCATTCGTTCAGACGACTCATTGGTCGCGCAATCAAGCGACAACCATCTGGTCCCTTCAATCGGCTGAACAACCATTCGTCCAGACGATTCATTCGGTTGCCCAATCAAGCGACCAACTGATCGCCCTTTCAAGCGACTGACCTACTGTTTGACCAAGTGACCGACAAATCGATCAGGCGATTAATAGGTCGCTTAATTAAGCGCCCAACCAACAGACCCTTTATTCGCCCGACCAATTAACAGAATTTTCCTTTCGTCCGACCTCTTTTTCACCGACCTCCGCATCGGCCGTCTCATCCTTTTTCGGCCGACTTCCTCTTTTGACCGTCCTCCGTATCGATCATCTCTTC